AGTTGTTTTAAGCAGCAAACTGTGCAGTTCTTGGCTTCACAGCAACAATTCTTCACCAACAAAACCACTGCTTAAAAAGCTATCAGTCTCAGAGGAGTGCAGTTACTTCACTTCATAACAGTTACCAATACTTTCATTTACATAACTTGTGATGGAAAATAACAAGAGATTTACACATATTATAGTGAGTAAATGAAACAAGGAATAATAATTGCAAGGTTGGATGGTTGCATGAAACCCTTCATTTCAACAAGGTATTCATTCCATATACTGTTTAGCCTGAAATCCTAATTGTAACACGATGGAATTTTGCCTTATTTTTTATCACTGTCCATTATCTGAAAAGTGTATCCTAAACCATATGGTAGTGTGAAACAAACTATACCAGGACTTTAACAATTAACTGGTAGTTTTGTAGTTTCACAAAGTCATCCAAAAATGCAATTATTGTTCCTTATTTCATTTTTTCACACTGTAATATGCATGAACCTCATGCTGTTTTCCATCACAATTTATATAAATGAAAGTATTGGTAACTGTGACCACACTTCTCTGAGACAGGGGTTCGATTGATCAAGAATTATTGCTCTGAGGCCAAGAAATGCACCATGCACTGCTTGAAACAACTGCTAAAGCCTGAGCAGTATTGCTAATCTGCACAAATGGCATAAAGATAGAAAAAGTATACACTTAATCTCAAGTATCTTCTACAAGTAATGTTTTAAATTAATAATCTACCCTAACATCTTTATAATGTAAAGTAATTTCTCCTAGATACAGTGCCCCTAAAACATTGACACACACTTCCAATTGGCAACTTTGATACACTATTAAAACAAACCAGGCACAGAACAAATGAACATCACTAAATAATGAAAATGCTATCACAGTTATACCCACTTCCAAAAACACAATTGATAATGAAAGTCAGTAAATATAATATCAACAAACCAATGCTATTATAAATGCTGAAAAATGATATCTGTCATCAGGAACTGTTGGCTGCCATTTACTTTTCCATACAATAATGATATTTTACACTAATAACAAAGATGATAATAGAGATGAAGATGAAGATGATGATGATGATGATGATGATGATGATGATGATGATGATGATGATGATGATGATGATGATGATGATGAAGATGAAGATGAAGATGAAGATGAAGATGAAGATGAAGATGAAGATGAAGATGAAGATGATGATGATGATGAGGATGACGATGACAACGACTACGACAACAATTATAGTTGTAGTAGTAACAGTAGTAGTAATTATTATTATTTTCATTATTATTACTCTAACTATCATTATTATACAATATTATTATTAACATTATCATTATCATTATCATCATAATCATAATCATCATCATTATTATTATTATCATTGTTATTATCATTGTCACTATTATTTTTTTCACTGTTATTATTATGTCTCTGTCATTATCATTCTGCAGTGGTGGTGGTAAGAGTTACTACCCTAATTCACTGTAGTTTTAATATGACAAATTATGTTACTGACACAAACAGAAGAAAAACAATTACTGCAAAGTGAAAAAAAAACCTTGGGGATCTCTTAGTAAAAGATAACATATTCACTGAATGAAAATAATGTTTGAGACACATATTCTCTAGGATACCTAACACTGTCAGTGTGTAATGTATGGTATATACTAAAAAACAAGTATTTTCTTTACACAAAATTCTATCTTCCTTCAAGTGATTTGTTTATTCAAAATTGTTTAGTATGAATAGTTACATAATAATTTCTCTATTATGATATAATCATAATTGCTGATCAAATACCAGATAGATAAAAAGAAAGATATATATAACTGTCACTTGCCTTAGTTTTACAAATAACATACTTAAATATTCAATAACCTGAATGTAGTATTAACCCTTGCCAACGGGGATGGCATTTACATACATGCCATGCCCACTGTGAGTCATCTCGCTTGATTGTTTTTACACATAGATGGCTACACTTGTACTAAGTCACCAGTGAGCCAATTACGAGTACTGCCTGTCTCGCCCGTTCACCCTTTTCATTGATTTACAAAAATATTTAACGTTATTTTAATTTGCTGTTAAAAATAACACCATCTATATTTATAGAACGAGTAAGAATACGCTTTTTCCCACCAATTCAAGGAAAGGTGAAATCAGGACTAGCAGAGCCATCTATATACAGAGACATTTCACAAAAAATATAAAATTGAGTACAGCATTTTCCGCATTTTTTATTCATTTTCCCCGGCGGCAATGGGTTAAAGATATTCATTATCATTAATTACTACAATAGTCAAGCTATAAGTATGTATAATTAGTACTATTTTCATATTAAAAATATAATCATCAGGAAAATGAGATTATCTTTCTATATCTTCATATAGCAACCAATCAAGCCATGATCAGTTCCACTTCTGTGGTTATTTCAACAAATGAGTTCAGTGCTAATGTTTTGCAAATATATATACTAAGTTTCTTCAGATACTGAAATAACAATTGTTATTTCAACCAATCTGTGCATTAAAATATAATAGCACAATCTGACATCAAAAAGCATTCCAGTGTTCTAGTGATACTGCAGCAAAGGCAAACAAACACATTCCAACTGTATTCAGACAAGATAATGTTTGTAGATATTTCCCTGCGTAATCATTGTCTAGTATGATTCAATCTAAGCTCTAAACTTTATTATGTAAGATTATGCCAATAGTAGACCTTGGACTATATGACGAGAAGGGTTAATGTCCTTTGCTAGAGCACCAAGTGTGGTGTCCCTAGTTATCGCTAATTGCTGTCTTGTATCAGACGATTATTACTCTTATTATATATAATCAATTTACCAATCAACTTAAAATATTCTCTATTTCAATCATAGTAGGTAGATTCTCCATTTCAAGAAATGAGGAGTTTAAAAGTGAGAGAGCAACTGTTTGTGTAATAATGAATTATGATTTATAAGGAAAAAAAATTAATTGCCATTATCTACTTTGTTTCCTTTCATTTGCAGTAAAATGTAATTGCTTTATATATATTTTGGGAATTACAGAAACAGGAACCATAATACTTAATTCATCTGATAAAATATTAAGCCAAGTTCTCGGCCAATGCCCACATTCAAAGGCTTGTAACCACTATGGTACACAAACAGTGCCATTCCCATGGTGATGGAATACCACTTGACAAAGCATGCAAAAGCCTGGCCATCAATGGAAGTAGATTGAGAGTGCCAAAAAAAACTTTGTGATTCTAGGCAAGAAAATTCCCAGCTTAAAATGCCTGAAGCACCTAATATTCAAAGCACTACTGGGAAATTCACAAACATCATCACATGAAGCAAAACCCTTCCTATTTCTAGGGCTTTGCCCTTTATTTCCTTATCAAGAGCACTGCCTCCAGACCCCCACCTGATCACATGTGACTAATCTAGTCTCTGCATGGCATTTCTTGCAACCTGTTCTCTTCATTTCTGTCATTATTCTTTCCCTGTACAGATTGTTTAAGTATCAGTGAGTGTATTTTTTCTCTTTCTTTATGACACTGTTATTACATTTTGTTATGCACGAATACCAAAGTATAACATGCTGCACAGCTTTCTTATTATCAACCTGCAGAGGATATACCATAGATGAAGAGAGTTTGATTTTTGGTGATTCTGTCCATTACAAAGAAAATTTACCTAGTACTACATAGTTGTGGGGTAATTGTTTAGAATACCTTTGCATAAACAATCTCAATAATTTTGTTATCAATAGATTCCTCTCACTCTCTACAATCCAAATATATCAAAATTATGCCACAGAAACCCAACGTATGCAAGCCAGGACGGAGTATGTGAAAATCCCACGGCACCATCACCCTCCCACCTGAGGACAGCTCTGCAGCTTCTATCAATCAGGTTACTAACTTTCTATTTCCAGATTGTATCTTGCTGTTTGCCTCATATGTAGGTCATAGACTCTATCATGCTGTGAATACGTACAGGATTCTTTGTCATCCAGGGTAGGGGTTTGAGGGCAGCAACCTTCCATTTGGGGGTGGGGGGGGGTAATACGGGGCATAGGCCCTGCATTCAACAGTTTACTAAGTTACTATTCATACCATCTTCTTATAGTATTGCTATTATACTTTGCAATTTCCCTGGTACCTTTCCTGCCCTATCCCACTATCAGGGCCAAAATTGTGGGTATTAAGTGTGGGGGGAGGGGTCTGTGGGTAATTTTTTATATATTTGGATAGTAGTGAGTCAGAGGAATTCATCAATACCACAATTATCAAATTTGGTTGTGCAAAGGGTTAATGATACCAAAAGCAATGCACAGAGATTGATGGAAATGAACACTGACATCTTATAGAGCATAAGAAATAGAGTAAAAAACAACCCTTGTACAGGCCTCATATTTATCATGAAACAACAAAAATATTCTACAGCAATCTTACACAGCCAAAATTCTTGATGTCAACTACTGTTTTCTGTAAGTTGACATGAAGCACTAATAAGGTAGGGGTACAGGAGGCCTAGGGAGTAAATACATGGTAAGAAAGATCTCTGTGGTTATTGTTCTGGATCCGGATCTCATAGCATCAACTCTTTGTGCACACTATTCTTGAAAAAAAACTGACATTATTTGTGTGTTGGTTGTGGTGAGTGTGTTGAGGAATTATGGATCTATAACAATAGATCCCCAAATTTTTTCACATCGTTGAGGTTTTACTGTGGAATCCAAACATAACTGTTTAATTACTTTAGAAAAAGGCCTATGGTGGCAGAAGTAAAAATAAAAATACAACCTATACCTAGTATTTCCAAAGTCTTAAAATGCAGATATCGCTATCTCCAAGAAGTGGACCAAAACACAACTAGATACATTGAATTTGTAACTTACTTCGATCAACCACAGTGTTAAATCAACATACATTTGGGATAAGTTATAATAAACAACATCAGTTGTTTTGACTCCTTCAAAGCATCACACAAAACTTACCAAGTTCGCATCATCGTCTGCCTTTCCTGAGGATTCTGCTTCGCTCGGGGGAGACTCACCACTAACAGTCGAATCTCTCGATTTCTTCGACTGTGTCTTGGTTTGGGATCCCTTTTTACTGGAGTCTCTGATCAAGAAGTAATATATACCAGCTGTTGCAGCCACAGTTCCTCCTACGGCGAGAGCAATTTGCCATTTTGGAATTCCGGTCTCGTTGGAAGTGTACTTGGATAGCGCCATGTTTACAAGGCCAAATTGATCTCATGTACAGCTTCACAATTTAGACAATATTTTTATACACTTACTGAAGATGTCATCGTCAACAGAATATATTTCTGTATTTTATTAGAAACCACTTATTAAATATGTTAAATACGATAGTGTTAAAAATATATATTTTAGAGCTATGTAAATTTCAAAACATTTGAAAAGAACTTCTCTCCTTTGAATATCTGACTAGCTTGCTGAGCATTTTGGCGAGCAATCTTTACAATGTAATTTGGTTCGGATTAGCTGAGAGTGGAAGAGAAGCCTGTTAAACTGTGCAGCGCCTAGAAATTATTTAATGTTGAATTCATCTGCTGTAATATAGTGATGAAAGTGCTCGTTGAATTTATAATTCAAATATGTTATTGGATATTCCAGTATCTTCCATTTAAAATACACTGCATTGCTTAGGGAAGACTTAAATGATGGACAGGTTTACTTTCTTATGCTATTTGCCTTCTTGACAGTGAGATACAGTATGAAAAACAATATTTCATCTGTGAAATGATGCATCATATAGGTGCAGCGCCAATGCCATCGGAATTAGGGTACTACATCGGGACTATTTTAATATCCTGGGTGAAAAATGTAAATCTTTACTTTTTGTATTGCTTTACATATTGTACAGTAAAAAGTGTTCAGATGATCCATGAAATTTTGACCTAAGCGTCGTGCACTCAGTTATTACTATGTCATTACACGATCGATGATTATAAGCTATATCATATCTGTTTATATTCTGTCAGTTGTCTATGAAATGCAACCTCTTTAAATGTATAGTCGTCACAGAACGCGTGAAGTTATCTCCGTGCGTCCTACGAACCATCATTCAACAAAACCTTGTAAACTGGCTTAATACGCAACAATCCCGACCAGGCTCAGTATGGCTCACTTTGTCTCAATTTCAACTTAATGAGCCTTGGACGATCTCAAATGCTTAGTCCAAAGCTCTCATGTAGTGAGTATAGGGGATGATAAAAAAAATGTGATTGCGTATATATAACCCCACGGATTGTGTATCCTTTACATAGTTCTTAAGAATTTAAGAAATTTGCAGTACTTGTACGGTACGTTGTTTTACCACTGGCATTATTTTCCGTTTTTTCTAAAAAGGGAGAATAATATCAATATAACTTAATAGTAATCCTTGATCCTCTTCTATTCGTTCGCATTATATCTATATCTATCTATCTCTATCTATCTATCTATCTATACACAAACACACACACACACACACACACATATATATATATATATATATATATATATATATATATATATATATATGTGTGTGTGTGTGTGTGTGTGTGTGTGTGTGTGTGTGTGTGTGTGTGTGTGTTGTTTTTTCAACGAGTTTATGATATCCGAGATTACCTTAACCTATGTGTTAGCTGTTTTCCTACTTGCTGGTCACACGGACAGAGCCATCAATGAAAGGGCTTAATTTCAGTCAACCAACGTGGCAGTGAGGTCCGCAATCGACAAATTCTGCTTTCAAGCCGTGTGATTGCGGCTACACGGGCGTTTCTTCATTAATATCGAAACTCCCCCAAATTCACAGCTGGCATAATCCTCTCCTTTCAGCAACTTTGTTGAGGATTGGGTGAAATGGAATTGGTGTTTTGGGCACGGAAAGAGAGAGTCGGTAATCTACTAAGAAATACCAAATTAGCTGCACATGCAATTTCAATCATATATGTTTTATTTAATATCAGTTTTAGACAAATACTGCATTTCATATTCTTATATTTTATGAGTGGTCATTACATCAACACAGAATTTCATGCCATTCTTCACGCAACAGTGGGATGAAGGAACACTGATATTGTCATGCTCCAGGAGACATTAACAGAAGGGACTGTTTGCTTCTCAGGGTATCATGTCTTCATGTTGCCAAGCACAGCTGGCACCAGAGACTTGATCACCCTGGTCAGAGCAACAATCCCCTGCTCTACAGTCGCCAATACACCGTACTGTGGAGATGATGTTGAATCTCTTGCTGTTGAGATCCACCTGGCAGGGGTCCCCTTCATGCTGTACAATGTGTGCAGCAGGCAGGCCATATGAGCTTAGACATCAGCCAGGTCTATGCTAGTGCAGCACAAGACCGAGTGATCATAGGAGACTTCAATGTACACCAACCCATCCTGGCTCCCTGATGAATGTCTCAGTAGACTTGAGACATTCCCTGAGATCACTCTTTTCAATAACCAAGAGACAACGCATGTCAAGGGAGGGGTCCTAGAACTTACCTTCGTCACTGTGGACCTGGTGGAGGGAATCGGATGGTGTGTCTAGCCCTCCTAAGGAAAGCTGTCAAGGATACCAAGGAAACTGTCAAAGCCAGATTTTAAGGTCACCTATCACAGCACATGCCACTATAAAGTGGAACGCCAAAGTGTGGGGTCCTTAGTCCAGCCCTTTTCAGCACCATAATGTCCTGTATTATCATCACTGGACCACGCTGCATAACAAGAGTC